TGCTATGTGAAGCCATCTGCAGCCCACACCCTAGGAATGGTGCTCACCACACTGTCAAAACAGTCCAGTTTTGTACTTCTTCCACATGGAGGAGAAATACATTTAAGCAATTTTCCAAACTGCCCCAATACAACTGCCATAACTGGAAAATTTAAGAGAGATTAAAAAACAACAACTAAAGGTAGGGCTTGTATAAAGTCAAAAAGTTAGTAACAGTTGACTCCCAGGATCCAACCCATGCTGATCAAACCCCAAAGTCCATGCTTTCTATTAGTTAAACTGAATCCAGTAGAACCAACAGTTCAAAAATTACCATATTGATATAGAGACAAAGTTAACCTTATTTTGCTTTCAATAATGTGATTTTTTTTTTCTTTTCAAAATAAGAAGCTCTTAGTAGACACTGAAAAGCACAAGTTCCTTGAAAAAAAATTACTCAGGGAATGCAGAGATGGTTCAGTGGTTATAGCACTGGCTACCCTTCCAGAGGATCTGGGTTCAATTCCCAGCACCCACATGTCAGCTCACACCTGTCTATAACTCAGCTCCTGGGAATCTGACATCCTCACAAAAATGCACATAAAATAAAATTAAATAAATTCTTTTTAAAAAATAAAAGAAAAAAATTACTCTTTTAATCTTACATGGATTTCAAATTGCACTACTTTAATTACTTAATTGTTCTGACTTGAAATTATTCAAAGACCTATCAACAGATAATCAATGATTAATTAACAAATTAATAATAACATTCTATGTTTCAGTCATATGAAAAGAAAATGTACATGGTGCCTTGAAGATCTTTCCTTGCTTTGGAAGGTGTCATAAGTTCAGCTGGCATAGAGACATCTCCAGATAGGGAGTCAATATTTCGTTTGGGGGAACTTCCTATTATTCACATTGAAAGTCCTGAATTCTGGGAAGCCCTGGTCCTTCAAATGCTTATGCCAACTCCTAAATAACACAAAATGCATTCTTGTAGCCAACAAAATTTATAAAGTATGGCAGCTTACACTAAATTGAAGGTAAACACTGTCTTAAAAGTGTGAGTTGAAAATATCTGAGTGGGGCCAGGTGGTGGTGGCACACGCCTTTAATCCTAGCACTCGGTAGGCAGAGGTAGGTGGATCTCTATCAGTTCATGTCCAATTTGGTCTACAGAGCGACTTCCAGGACAGGCTCCAAAGCTACACAGAGAAATCCTGTCTCAAAAAAAAGAAAGAAAGAGAGAGAGAGAGAGAGAGAGAGAGAGAGAGAGAGAGAGAGAGAGAGAGAAGAAAAGAAAAGAAAAGAAAAGAAAAGAAAAGAAAAGAAAAGAAAAGAAAAGAAAAAGAAGGAAAAGAAAGAAAAAATATCTGAATGGTCATACAAAAAGAAATTACAAAGCTGTGCATAACCATGCTTAGCCAAGAGAATGCTGCTGAGAACATCAGAAGTTTATTAGGTGAAATTCATTATTGAAAGGATACTCAACATATGCAAATCAGCAAATCCCATTTAAAAAACAGGCTACAAACAGCACACATATACATACAATAGATAAAATGTTTACACAGAAAATGAAGCTGAGATGAAGGAATCAACATCCCTTCAGCAATATCAAAAGGTTATCACCTCTGTGAAATGGTAACAGCACAGTTTTGAGATGTCACGATAAGCTAAACTTTTATGAGAGAAGTAGATCTAGAAGCTAAGAGTCTCTTCCCGTTTGAAGATCTAAACCATGATAAAAGCCATCACATGTGTGACCTCTTTACAGGCAGAGCAAGTCTGACTGCAGAGTTATACGATGTTCCCAGGAACTAGATCTGGCCAGAGGAGTCTAGACTGTCTATTAACCATGTTCGCCCCTTAATTATCCTTAGATAATTAAGATTAGAGTGCACCTAAAAATCCTTAGAACAACATTCAAGGAACATGGTCAGTACAGGGAAGAGAAAAGACATGTTCTACCTCATGTTCAGGACTTTGTTTAGTTTTTTTAAAAAAGGAATTTAAATCCAGTAACTTGAATCTTTTATTAGTTACTTTAACTACAGAAGAAGGAAAACAGCTTTCCATGAGCTCTCTAAGCAAATTAAAAATACACACTTAAAAAGGGAACAAATATCTTTGTAGGGTGAGCAAAGGGACTTCAAAATCAGAAAATAACTTCCAAAACAAATTACTGTGGTTATCTAATCACTGTAGGCCAAGGGTCTGATAAGCAAAACAGACAAGAACCAGTTTAAGGACTGTTAATAACAATAAGAAAGCCAAGTGTCTCTTTACCCTCCTAACTTTATTCTTATAACTGAGGAGGACCACAAAATCACACAGAAGTCGTCAGACACTTATTCTTTGATCAGCATGTTAGTGTTCCTTGATATGGGAAGGTCCCAACTACATAAACACAAAAACCTGCTCTATTCAACGACCAGGCAGAATTCCTTCTTCCTTCTCCCTTTTCTTTTTCTCATATAGTCTTGCTAGGTATTCCAAGTTGGCCTGGAACTTTCTATGTAACCAAGACTAGCCTCCTCACAATCACTGGCCTGTCTCTGCCTCCTAAATGCTGGGATTTCAAGCATGCGCTCCAACACCCAGCATTAAGAATTGTTTTTCAATCATACTTTTGAATTATGCTGATCCATCTAACTGTAGTCCTGTGTCTCGGTATCCAATGATAATGACTGTCCCCAAGTTTTTATCTGGTTTAGGGTGCAGTCTATATTGTTGGCAACCTATATTGTGCTATCTTGGTTTGGCTGCTTCATCTGTTTAGCATGAACTAGAGTTGTTAACTAAAGCACCTTGAAAGTGGTTGAAAAATTATTAAGTTAGAATACATTATTTAAGGTTAGTTGGCAGTAGACTGTGTATGACTACTATATATGTAGTACTCTTGGAGCTATCCAAGAATATGTATAATCTGTTGTAAAAGTTGATTAATAAAATAAATACATAATCAATAGTTACTAAATTCAAAAAGACATGTCAAGTAAAGCACTAAGTTATAGACATGTAGAATTCTTCAGTGCTATAGGAATTAGAATGAACAAATACTTGAACCTTATGGTAGAAATCACTGGAATTGATTTTTATGCCAATTTTATTTATGCCTTTATAGGTTTTCAGAATGAAAATGTTCTTTAACAAATGTGCACAGTGCATCTCCTTAATAATACTTCAATTAAAACACATTTTACTTACATGTATTTTAACCTAAAACACCCAGATACACAGGGCACTCCATGAAGACACATTCTCACTCATACAGAATGAAAAAGAATGGAAAAACTCACTATAGCTATAGCTATTCAACACTGAGAGAGAGAAAAAAAACACTAAGAGAAAACAAAAAGTCAAATATTAATTCCAAATATAAACTTCTTTCAAACAGATAGGGATGACGAACCAATGAAAGCATAACCAAAACCTTATCAAATAAAACAATCCAGACCTTATGTCGGAATGATTGTGTTAAAATGTTTTTCAAACACTCATACTGGACAAATTTTAAGACTCAGTTTTGGAATGTAGAATCTGTCCAATCCGATTTGGAATTGTGAATGGAAATAAAGGCATGAGACATACACTAAGGACTTTAGTTTCTTGGACACTTGCTATAATTCATGAAGTCAGCAAGTCTGCAAAAAGGTTAACAAAACAAAACCTCTGAAAATTATGGCTGTATTTCCAGTTGACTTAAATACGTTTTAAATCCTCGATTCCTCTTAGATTCTGATTTTAAACACACATACTTGCCCTAAATTCTTAACAGAGCTAATATTTTCTTACAACAAAAATCAGACTATTTTAAAATACAGACTGTTGTAAGATCCAGGTAATCATTCTTTTAAATATTATGTAACTTCTTTCTACCCAATGTGACACAACAGAAAGGGAACTGTTACACCTCCTCTATCTGTTAATAAAGGTGAAAATTATTTCTTAATTTACAGAGAAGTGTGTCCCAAGAGTGACTTTCTGACTTCATGCTAAGCCAAAACTACCCAAGCAAGTCATGGTATAACAATTTATAAAGCACCCCACAGTAAGGGCAAAACAAGAAGCCCCGGCTTTTTAGAGGCTGTTGACTTTTCCCTTTCCCTTAATGTTTTCTGGGTCCAACTGAGTGTCAAACATCACCCAGGTTCTACTGGAGACCGTGAAAGCATATTCACAATTACCAGGATCATACCGCGTTCCTTGGGAAGGGGAATCCATCTGAAACACCTTCAGTAACCTAAGAAGCAAGCACAGGACGGCGGAAAAAAAAAATCAACTTGCCACCCTTTCCCATCCTGCCTCCTGCTTTTGCTCATTCGGTGGTTAAATAAGTTACAGTTACTTTAAGAGAAAAGGCAAGGATGCTTTTGGGGGTGGGTTTAAGAAGATAAACACTACAGATGAAGAGGAAATAAGTTGCTCTGAGTAAGTTGTGGACCCCACTCATTTACATACAACCAAACCAAGATACACCCACTTGTATTCTATCCTGAAGCTGCAACCTAGGAATCCCAAATGCTGTTACTCTCCCCTAGACGACTAAAAATAACGCTGGCTCTTCACCCAGGCGGCTACAGAGATGCAGGCTCTGCAACTCCTGAGGTGCGGTAATTCAAGATGCCTGCCACTCACAAGACCAGCATCTCCAGGAGGAGGCAGGGCTTCGGAGTGGAAACCTACTCGCAGCCCGCTGTACTTGAGATGTCCAAACAGTCCGGGAAGGCTGCTCCACACGACACGAAGCAGCAAACCTGCGAAGGAGAACCGCGGCTGCGGAAACCGCCTCCCGCGAGGGTCCAGGATAACTGCAGGGAGGCTCTCGGGCGGCCGCTCAGATTCGCCCGGAGGCGGCGCTCTGCACAGGGGGCGGGGCCACCGCAGGGGCGGAGCGGGGGCGGAGCTAGAGGGGGACGCGGTTAGAGGGCGGGATGGAGTGAGGGTGCGGAAGAGGGGCGACGGCTTGAAGGGCGGGGCCAGCTCGCGAGGGGCGGAGCGAAGGGCAGGCTCACCTTGGGCTGAGGGCGGTCGGGCGCGCGCGGCGTCGCGTCTCCTCAGCTGAGGCCCCCAACGCGGCGGGCCACCCGGCCCCGGAGCCGCGGGAGGTGCCGGGGCGCCCTGCGCCCGCGTTCCTCCGCCCTCGGCCCCGCAGCCCCTGCTCCGCCGAGGGCGCTAACAGCTGCACGCAGCGCCTCAGCGCGCGCCGCCCCGCCATCTTTGGTGTTGGCCCGGGTCCCCGCCCGCGTGGCCCCAGGCTGCAGCCAGGAAACACCCCGCGCCGCCCCCTACTGGCCTTTACCAAGATGGCTGCCCGCGGGCGGGGCGCCGAAGCCTCGAGGCCATCTTGGTAAAGTCAGCCCAGCGAGGACAGCCCATAGCGCGGGGCCTCGGACCACCGCCAGGTTGGCTCTGAGGCTTGCACCGGAGGTCACTGCACTTCCAAGTCCTGTGAACACATTCCTGGACACCACAGACAGTTGCTAAAACCAGTGGAATCCGGTTGACCAATGGCATAGCCCACTCTACATAGGACAGCATGGACACTAAGCCTTTGACTTAAAGGGCGTGGTGACGGAGACACGAATTTTAGTTTTCTATAGTAAGTACTGAGTGTTGATGGCTCCTACCTTGTGTGCTCAGTTTCGTTTAAAATCATGTCAGCCTTCTGGTACATGCGGCTCTTTTCTAAATCTCAGAATAAGACCCAAACATTATAAAATTGTGATTCTGAATTTCTTAACTGATTGAATTTATTTCAAGAAGTAACTTACAAAGGCATATAGAATTCAGTAATGAGTGGATGGGTTAAAAAAAACAAACAAAACTCTGAAAGCGTTTCTGGGATACTATGCACAGACCAAAACCAAATAGGCTGTCTGAGAGTGTATTGTCAAAACATGAAAAAGAAAAACCAAGCATTAATATGAAAGTGCAAGCCAAAAAGTGCCTTTAGAAAGTGAATATATAACCATATAATACTGCAGAACATTATGTGGCTCTATACTTTATTTCCTCTGGGTAGCTTGCAGTTGTAACTGATGGGTTTTTTGTTTTTGTTTTTGTTTTTTTGCTTTGTTTGTTTTAAGTTTAGTATGCTTATCATCTCCTTTGCACCTGGGTGGGGCTAAATAACGCTTGGCATGCATCAGCCAAAAAAAAAAAAAGTAACAGCACTACAAGCCCAAAGGAAAAATTGAAATTACTGCTCCAATGTTCTTATTAGTGTTCTTTGCTGGGGGACTTCAAACATTCCATTTCTTGCCTTTATTCCATCAGTCATTATGAAAACATTTCATATACACAAAAAATGAATATGCATTTTTATGCTGTATGAAGAAGTTTCAGACATCAAAATACTTAAATCATTTTGATGACTCTTCTAAGAAGAAAGATTCTGGTTTCATAATCACAATAGCATTTTCAAACCTAAGAAAACAGTTGCCTCCTGTCACAAACTACTCAGACCATACTCCAAGTTTCATGATCAGACCAAGTCTTGTAGCTCTTTGCAGGGTGGTTGATTGTTCATGCATTTGCTTGTTGGCTTGTTTTTCTGAGCTTACTAATATACTACCTAGCCTCACATCTTACAGTTACTTGCTTAAGTAAGAACCAACTGGAATATTTACTTGATACTTTCAATATATATTTCCATCCAAAGAAAGCAAATGAGGTTTTAAGGTTTTTTTGTTTTTAAGTGTTTATTTGAAGGTCTTAGAATTGCAATTCAAGAGGCACAGATGGCAGTAAATCTACAATGTGTCCCATTTGGAAAGGGTTTGAAAGTCCTTTTAAGGGTTAAAAAGAGAAAATCTAAGTGAATTACAGGGGTTTGTCAAGCATTGTTTGAAAGAACAATTTACATCTATGGCTCATTAGTCCAGTACAGCCCAGCATAGACTATACCAGTATTCCAGGGTTTAGTTCATAACAATCCTAGCATGTTCTTTTGGCACGTCATCACATTCATAGAGTGGTCACCTCAGCACAAGATGGGAGTCTGAGTCAGAACACTGGAGTGAGCTTACAGCTAGGGTGGAAGACAAGTCCGCAGAGGGTGTTTTCCTTTGGAGCTGGTGTTTTAGATAAGCAAGTTCATTGTGCATACCAGGAAAGCCTAGTTCAAATGATGACTCTTAGCACACAGTATTCAGTGAGGTTTTGTTTCCCAACTTATTAAATATTCCAGAAGTTTTAGAACTATGTGAGAATCAGTTGTTTTCAGCAGACAAATGAAAGAAGTCAATCAGTACAACAAATTCTGTCATGCAAGGCAAAGCTTCTCTAGCTTGCTTTCCTGAACTCCGAACAAAGTGAACATTGCACCCTAAGCGTTTTACTCAGGGTTTAATTTTAGCCTCTAGTCCACTGACCTGAGTGAGCTTTGTCTTTCCTATTTATACCACTATTAGCAAGTGAAACACTCAAAACACAACTGTAACTGTTTGCTGTCTAAGTTGCTGATTTTTAAATGTTAATGTCACGAAGAGGAGTAAATTAATCCAAGTCCCTAAAAGCAGCTAATGGCCAATGTAATTTTTTTTTCTGGAGATCAACACTAGAGAACTATTTCTAGAAGACTTTAATTTAGTCTGTATTTATGAAACAACCCACTCAAAGCTTTTAATTTTTAACAAATATGAGCAAGGAGAAAAAAGAAGTCTCAAAGTTGAGTGGGAAGGGATAGGAAAGTAGAGAGGGTGGTTATGGCAAGAGTTGGGAAATGGAGGCAGTGAATATATTCAAAATATGTTGTATGAAATTCTCAAAGAACTAATAAAAATGTTGTTTAAGATATACAAAACACATACATACTGCCAAGTGACAACAGGAAGGCACTTGGACAGCTAAATTCTATTCAATGTTCTTCCATTAACTGTCTTTGACCTGAGAAAAGATCCTTTCTATCTCCCCAGTATGCTTAGTCCAATCCTCCATTGTAGTTGTAACATTCTGTTTGCTTTTAAAAATGGGAGGGATTGATACATGAAGGCAGGGTGCTGATAACAGCAGAGTGTTGTACTGTTGTGGACTATTAGTCAGCAACTCTTGGCAAGCCCATAGGGTGGCTATTTGTTTCAAGCTTTTTTTAATATTTTTTTTATTATGTATACGGTGTTCTGCCTGCATGTATGGCTGTTCTTCAAGTCAGAAGAGAGCACCAGAATGCATTACAGATGGTTGTGAGTCACCATGTGTTTGCTGGGAATTGAACTCAGGACCTCTGGAAGAACAGCCAATGCTCTTAACCTCTGAGCCATCTCTCCAGCCCCTTGTTTGAAGCATTTTTAAAGAACAGTTTCAACACACATAGCAATGATTTTTTCTTTGTATTGTGAAAAAGGCTTATGGAAATTCACTATTCTAATCTCCTGAAATGTACAGTTCAGTAGTGTTGAGGGCAGCAAGAAGACTCAGCAGGCAAGGGTGTTGCCATGCAAGTCTGCCAACCTAAATTCAACTCCTGGAACTCAAGTACAGGTGGAAGGAGAAAACCAATGCCACAGAGTTCTCTGTCCTCCACAAACACACCATGACACACATGCCCATACACATTTCATGCACACACCAATAATAATTTTTTAAAGTATTATTGAAGCATTTACTATGAGCACATGGAGACTAAACTGCAGTTTTCTTCCCTACCAAGATCAGACTAGACCAAACCTTTCAGGTGTATCTGATTCTCCATAAACAGAACCACTAAGGAGTGTTTCTTGTCTTGACTCTTTTATCTGCCATGTGTTTCTGTGTCTCCGGACACACATTGGTACATATCTTCCCATGCTTCCAATGCAGAGTCAAGGATATTCTGTTAGCAAATGGAATAATCCCCATCACCACCAATAACCCAAGATACTTACTTCTTGACTCCTGAAGTCTATGAATATTACCTTATGCAGAAATTTTGCTTTGTTTTGGTTTGGTTTCGCTTGGTTTGGTTTTTTGATGCAGGGTTTCTCCGTGTAACAGCTCTGGCTGTCCTGGAATTCACTTTGTAGACCAGGCTGGCCTTAAACTCACAGAGATCTGCATGATTCTGCCTGCCAAGTGCTGGGGTATACGCCATCACACCAGGGTTGAAAGAAATGTTTAATGCAGTTGAAGACTGTACCTTAGATGGGCAGTGAATTACCCAGGTGGGCCCTAAATGTAATCACGAGGATGATTATGAGAGAGCTAAGAAGGTAAGTAGGAAAAGGAGACAGTAGGACAGCACAGAGACTAGAGTGATGCAGCCACAGCCAAGGAAGCCCCTAGCAGCTTCTACAAAGAGAACCATCTCTTCTACAAAAGAACCATCCTCTTGACAACTTGACAAGAGCCCTGAGAAACCTGTCTTCAGAGATTGGCCTTCACAACTGTTGTGCTGTTGTATGTCACCAAGTTCATGGTAATTTATTTGAGCAGCATTCAAAACTCAGTATATTCTTCTTGAAGCAGTTTTTAAGTCTACCAATGGATGTATTAAAAACACTGCCAACTGTGAGGCTGGGGGGTAGCTCAGTGGTACAGTACTTGCTTTGTATGTGCAAGGCCCACACCACCACAGCACACACAGGTACAGCATATACATAAATCTGTAAAACATACATCAAGTTAACATAAGGAGTAGACATAGGGCTAGAAATCTAAACTTTATGCAGTGATTTGTGTACTGAGCTCAGAGAAACCTAGGCTTTTGGGGACCAATTTTATTAAGTGGATACTAGGAACCATAGTTGGATTAGTGGCCACAGAAAGGAGCAGAAGAGTAAAATTGGAGATTACCTTTATTCCTGCCCTGAACAAGTTAACTGCCCTAAGTCTCAGTTTCTTTCTCTTATAAAAGAATGATATTAATTTACATGACCTCTAAAATTCCATAGAGTTCTAAAATACAAATCTGTTGCAAAAATGTTTTGCTCAGGATTTTATGTCCACATTTTATTGCAATTCCAGTCCCTCTCTAGCTTCCCTGCCCACCATGAAGCCTATCTGTTAACCACATACATATCCCAGCTTGTGCAGATGTCGCTTTTATTTGGAACTTTCTTCCCAGGCTTTACACACTCAACATTCAAGAATTGCTGCCTTCCAGAAACTTACACTTTCCCAAAGGAGAATGTCATTTCTACTGCAGCCTGTTCACAGATCTTTTAAGGTAGCTATCAAATGATAGTATGACTATTTCCATTTCTGTTTCTCTGACCACAATGTGAGATGCTCGTGTGCAAATATTCTGATCCATATTTATCCCTCTAGCACCTACTTCTGTACTTGGCACAGACAATTATGAATGTGTACTGAATAAATAAATGAATGATTACAGAAGAGCCTACTTGGGAGTGAGAAGAGTGAAAAGAACTGAGGAATGAATGTGAAGGACAAGTGGATGGGAAATATATGGCTCAACAAGACATCCACAGCCCTGGAGAAAAAGAGGAAGCTGATTTGGGTGGTGATTTAATTCAAAGCTATCCTCAGATACTCATTGTATATGCAATTTAGCATCTCTCTTGACCTTGCTTCAAAGTCAGTTTCTAAGTGGAGTTAACAGTATGAGCTACCTCTCAGAGCAATCTGCTGTTTAGAAGCTCTTCACTGGGATGGATGGCA